AAATAAATAAAAATAAAGAAACAAAACGGACTAAAATAGATTTATTGTTATCTTTTTTAGGGTTTCTTGTTTTATAATGTACATAAAAAATAATTATTTATTTTTTTAATTTCATCTATTTCCATTTGGTTGCACAGATGCGAATTGTAAATATTTATTTTCAGTTATAAGTTATGCGGACAGTAGCAGCTGCTGCATGCGTTTCATACATGTTAATTTACTTATTAACATTATGTTCTACCGTTTATCTATGTATTCACAGGTGAGGGGAAGTACCTGCACCTGTCTACTGGACGCCGATTGCGCAACAGCCGATGACAAGATGTTGAAGCCGATTACTTTCATTATTGGTATTTTTTATTTAGGTGAGTTGCGTATCCGGTTATTTTTTTTGTCCAACCCATTTGCATTATTAATGACGGTTCTTTAATTAAAATTCGGCATGCGAAATGTGCGACCAATTAATTAATCAAATTTGCCAGAAATCAGAAAACGTTTTGAGCGCGAACATTTTTTTGCTTATTAAGACGAATAAAACCTGTGACAGGCGGTTATTTAATTGAATTTGTGACTGTGAAATTCATTTAGAGTAAATTTTTGTATTATTTTATTCGAAAATATTCCATTTGCAAATTGCCATTCGAAATTTAATTAGCTGCGCAGGTTGTGAGTGCACTGTGTGACGAGTGGCTCGACAACTGCACACTTACCCTTGGCAGCAACCTCACAGAGCTTTTTAGCAAGCTCATCAACCGCAGTGGTCTCCTAACTTTGATAAATACTTTGAAGTTTTCATTGAAACGTGGTTGCTAAACTTTGCTTAACGAAACGAACGAATGTTGTACTTAACGCAACTAAAATATTTGACGAATCCACCTATAGAACGAATGATAATTGAAGTGAACGAACTTAACCGATTCAGTAATTTCCTCTTGGTTTGTGGCTGAGCTAAAGGACATTTAAGTTTAAGCTTAACGAAACTGATGCGGTTGAATCTAATGCACCGTCGATATATGAAAACTTATCGATAGAGCTTTTTCTGTTATCTAACGTAGATGGGAAGTTCAAATAATTTCCATACGATTGTGCTCTACAGATTGTTTTATGGTATATCGAGCAATAAAATATTTTATATAACATGTAATGAATATAATTATATAATAAGTACCATTAGATTCAATATTTAAATAACCCAACCGTTTCCACTCATAAGTCAAACATTAAATCCAATTAATTGGCACATTTGAATAAGAGTTACTGCAGCAGAATACGTTATTATTGTCAGCAGCATAACTTTTACAGCGCTGCCATTAAAAATTAGAATGGAAAGTCACACAAGGGGTGGAAAAATAGAAAAAGTCAACAGCAAACAGCAAACTATAATTATGTTTATCTTAATTATATTGCGTGACGTTAGTTTCTTATTAAGCAGCAAAAGCAACAAAATCGCCGAGTCACAAAGTCACCTGCCACAACAATCAAGCCAGCCACACACATCCACACATACATTCATGCATATTCGTGAAAGCCCTTGCGGAATTATTACAATATACAAAGAGCCTGGGCACCCACTCAAGCACTGAGCCACTAAGCCACCTAGCCGCATCCAGTCTTTGCAAACACACCTCCGGGAGTCACAATCGCAGTCGAAGTAGGCGAAGGAGTCGGAGTCGGAGTCGCGTGTGGGAATCACAGCACGCTCCGGCAAGTCGCCAGCAAGTGGTCAAGTGGCGCCTTCGTCCTTAGCTTTATTTGCATATAAAGCGTGTGTTGGCGCCAAGCAAGGGCCAGGTGTGGGAATAGAGGGGGCTGCTTAGTTTGTTTTTGTGATTTCTTGCGCCTCGCTGTTTCCAAAAGGTATGCCCAGAAATTAAGCACACTCGCCACATTTGCGTGCTGGCTGCTCGACTGCTCGACTGCTAGGCTGTTCGGCTGGCCGGGCGTATGCGCAATTCGAAGTCAACATTCTGACCCTTATGGCTCACGCAAATCAAAGTGCACGTCATTACCTTGGGCCTTGGGTAGGGGGAATGAGACGGAGATGGAGATGGAGACGGAGACCTCGATGAATCAAGTGGCAGAAATTGATTGTCAAAGCTTATCGAATGCAAATGCTGTCCAGCTAGCTGGCAATCCCTTGAGCGCGCGCTTGATCCATTTCATTTATGTTAGCCAGAAGCCAAATCAATTGCTCGGCCTTATGCAATTGGCCATAGTTGTGGTAAAGGCAGTCCGGGATAAATCAAAATAATTAAGTCGCTTTAAATTGAGAGCGTATCGACGGCAAGCCGTGCAATAAACTGAACGGCATTAACCAAAGTCTCAAGTGGGGCTAATAAGCTTGAGACAGCGCTAATTTTACCCTCATTAAACAAACTGACATGGCAGACAAGTTGAGGCCAAGACAGCAGCGACTCTCCCTCTCTCTCTCTCTCTCTCTCTCTCTCTCTCACCCCCTTTTCTCGCTTTGCTCTTAACTGGCAACTGGTAACGTTTTAGAGGCTCAATAAACCCCAACGAGCTGGCCGACCCCATCGACCGAGCAGAGTCTCCTCCGACAGCAAAAAGGGCTCGATGCGAGCGTTGGCAGTCATTAACGGCAAACTGCTTCATCATTTAATAACCCAAAAGTGAGCTGGTTAAATGCCGAGGCAGCCCCGGCTGTTGGCCCCAACAACAACCAATGCTAAACCCCAACGCACATACTTACAAGGGCCCACAACAGCTTGAGCAACCAAATACAAAAAAAGAGGAGAAAAAAAAAAAAAAAAAAAACACAAAAAAGAGGAGAAAAAAAACGTTAAAAAAAAACACAGAAAAGAGAAATGGCGTAGAACATGCCACACTTATTTTTATAGATTTCATTTTAACGCCGAAAAGGCAAACGCATCCAGTCTATACGTATGTATATATGTATGTATGTATGTATGTATGTATGTATGTGTGTGTGGAGGGAGAAGGGGGTACATTTTCTTTGGCAAGCTGGCATGCCTACATCAAATTGGCAAGGCGTCAAGCCAGCCTGCCCGCCTCCCCGCCTGCCCGCCTGCCTGCCAGCCAAGAGACTGAAAAAGGGTTCATTATGGCAATTTGCTTAAGCTTGTGAGCCCAGCCCTTCCCTCTAACGGGGTAGTAGCCCTTGGCAAACTTCGAGCCTGTCTCTTTTTACTCTCTCATCCTGCTTCTGTAGGTGTGTGTGTGTGGGGGGCATCTTTAAAGCCTACGCACTGAAAAACGCGGCACACTCTGGCGGCATCTGCTTGGCAGCCTCCGCGAAGGCCATTTCGCGCACACTGCGCCGCCAAAGTTCATAAAATATAATGATAGGCAATATTTGTTTGCTCCTCGGGGCTGGTCAATGTACGCCAAGTTTTCGGATCCTTAAAGTTGCCCCCAGCCGTAGCACGCGCTGCAGTTCAATGCACTGCCTTGTATGAGGCAACTCTCTGTCGCGTCTTGAGCCTGCTGTGCCCCATTGACGTTTATGACATGATTTCGCTGAGGCATACCGATTTTTTAATTGCGGGGGCTGAGCATTTCGATTGTGGCACAGTGAAATATTCGAGAATGCACTTAAGTGCAGAAGGCAGCCTGGGCGACAATTGCAGCCGCACTTGAATAATGCACGAAGACCACGCAATGCAAAGCTAACGAAAAAGTCGACGGAGCTAATGACAGTAGCTTCAAGACTTTGGATTGAAGCTATCAACTTAATTATGAATTTTATGTAAAAGCATATACTTTGCAAGCTAATGTAAGCAATTAGCTTTAACTGAATGAGCTCTCATAAAGTTCTCTATGTCTATTTATATGTTAACTAACTTACGACTTATATTTTTATGAAATAAATCATGAATGCAGCAACGTTGTTTTAGAGTTTAAGCTCAGCTCTTAGCTATATATCTACCATTACAAATCCTCTATATCAACCCATCCCAAATACCATGCAGACTGTTCAAGCATTTCATCTTTAAAGCTAATCTCATTTCCATTTCACAAAGCTCCATATTCATTGCATTTATTGGCCTTGATTAATCTAATCTGCTTGCTCAGCTTTAGCCAAGTGTCACTCGACTCAAGCAATAAATGTCGACTCCGCCCAGTTGTCGTCTGCGGGCGCCGGAAGTCGGCTGCAAGCGTTTGGATTGGGTTGGCGTGTTGGGCCTTCAGCATATATATGTATATGTATTTTTTTTTTATTACTCGTGCGTTTGTGTTGCGCTTAATTATATTTGCGTGCGGCCGAACAATTCTTGGCTGGCTCGAGGCGACTCAGCTCGGCTCGGCTCGACTATGCATGAGATTGTGATTTGAAATTTGTCTGGAGCTACGCACTTAAAATATTATTTACTGCGCTTCTGAACAGCTCCGTCATCCGGCAGGCGAACAGGTGAGCAGGCGAGCAGGTGAGCAGGCGAGCAGGTGAGCAGTCGAGGCGGTGAGCAGTCGAGGCGGTGAGCAGTCGAGGCGTCACTTTACTTCAATGTCCTTGCGTCATTGTTGACTGTTGTCCTGCCGTCCTGTCGTCCTGTGCGCGCATTGTCAACGACATGATTTGTCATCCTCCGTCGCGTTTAATGAAGCGCCCGATTTAGCCGATGCGGCCTTCATTCAGCTCACTTCATTGCGGCTTTGATCGATTGCTCAACACGTTTTCTGACATTCTCAACCAGCTGGCGTGCTGTGGCACCTCTTGTAGTAGTTGTTCTTGTTGCTGTTGTTGTTGCTTCTGCTGTTTGGCCATTAATGGGTAATAAGTAAATTGCGTGCTCGTCGCTGGACGCGTCACACTCGCAGTGATTGCTCACTTTTCGACACTTTCGTCTCGACTTTCAGCGAATAAAACGTTCGACGTTTGACGTCTGTTCGCTCAGGACATGACCGGAGGCCAGCTCTCGATGCCCGAAATGGCCGTCCATTAATCAAAGCAGACAACTGAGGTGGCCGAGGTCGAGGCGGGCTGTCAGGCTGGTTGACCAATGGGCGTGGCTTGGCTTTTTTTTCGTCAATTCCGTTTGCATTTTTCATTTTCCCATTAATAGTATTATGAAGACATTTCGAGTCGATGCCGGCAGCCGTGGCTAAAGCAGCGACTCGGCGTATGCGTAACGCATTGTTTAGTTGGCATTTGCGTTTTGTGTGCCAAGTAATTAGTGGCAGCAGCAAGGGCAAAGGCAACAGCAACGGCAACACCGAAGGAAGGAGCCACAACCAGGGACAGGGACAGAGACAGGGACAGGGCAACGTCAAACATGGTAATAATAATTGCTTTGAAGTCGCTTCCTGCCAAACTACGAGCCGAAAAGCCCACCAAGAGCCGATTTACCATTCACGACGTAGTTTTCCAGACGCCTAATCTCTGCGT